GTAGAGGTAAAAATGCCAACAATCAATGAAAATAAAATCATAGGAAGTATATAACTCAGTACATAGATATAACAATAGGGGATCTCCCGGGATACCACCCCGTAGTCCCAAACATAAATGTACAGAGGATCTCCCAAGATACCATCCCGTAGTCCAAATCGTAAATATGCAGAGGAATCTCCCAGAACACCATTTCGTAGTCCTAAAGTAAATATCCAGTACAGGGGGGTCTCTCGGGATACCGTCCCGTAGTCCCAAACACAAACATACAAGGGGAACTCCTGGAATACCATTCTGTAGTCGCAAAATAAATACACAACTTAGTCAATATACACAACAATAATAGCTAGGAAAAATCTAGCGTTCTAATCAAGTTCATAGAAAGGAAGACAGGTAATTCTTACACTAAACATGTTGCACAGAATCCAGGTAAGTAGTTAAAGCAGATAAGATAGTTAAAGCACATAAACATGTTTTCCTAAGCTAAACAAGAGGCTACATGTACTGGTATTGCTCAATTAAAGGATAGCATAGATATTTACTTAATGAAAATGGGGTTTTTCAATAATTAGCACGTGTACGCACTCGTCACCTCACGTACATGACATTCATATAACAATAGTACCAAATCCTAAGCGGATTTCCCCTACACAAGGTTAGGAAAGCCATTTACCGCGAACCAAGCTTAAAATCAATCCAAAATCATGCTTTTGCCGCGAGTATCCAACGCCAAGTGGCTCAAATCTAATCAAATCAATTACATAACGTAAATAAAGCTATAAGCAATTAATTTAGCTAATGAATTCAAGGCTAAGTCAAGAAAATAGGAAAACGCCCAAAAATTCTCCCCGAGCCCATGTCTTGGAATCGGGTAAAAATCACAAATTATGAACACCCAGCTCATAAGATCACTCGTCCAAAAATTATTCAATTTCGATGCTTAAACTCCGATAAAAACCTAAAAATTCGATTGGGGAACGTTTTCCCCAAATTCCATTTTTTCCCACTCAAATTCCTTAATTAGATGGAGAAAATTACTATAGATTGTTGAAATATAAATGAAATAGGGTTAGGAATCGTTACCCATTGACTTTCTCTTCAAAAACCTCACAAAATACCTTCTCCCGAGTTAAAAATTGAATTTGGTGTTATGAAATTTCAAACCCACGAAATTATCTATTCTGCCCAGTGATTTCCGCATTTGCGCCCATGGGGCCGCATCTACGGTCCCGCACCTGCGAAAAAAGCATCGCAGGTGCGAAAGTCACTTACCCGGGCTGGTACCACATCTGTAGTCACTAGGTCGTATCTGCGGTCCCGCCGTAGCCAGGTGTACCTGAGGTTCCTTCTACCTTGATCCATTTTCTCTTCTGCGGCACCGCACATGCGGTCCCATATCCGCAGGTACGATTATATCAGATTCAACAAACTTTAGAAAATGCCTAAGTCCAAATCTAATCCATTTAGCATCCGAAACTCACCCAAGGACCCCCGGACCTCAACCATACATACCAACCAATCCTAAAATACCATACGAACTTAGTCGAGCCCTCAAATCACGTCAAGTAACGCTAAAGCCACAAATCACCCTCCAATTCAAACTAAATGAATTTGAAATTCCAAAATTCTAACACTGATGCCGAAACCAACCAAACCATGTCTGATTGACCACAATTTTTGCACACAAGTCACATTCACCACTACGGACCTATTCCAACTTTCGGAATTTTATTCCAACCCTGATATCAAAACTTTCACTATCGGCCTGAAACTCTAAAAATTTAACTTTCGCCATTTCAAGCCTAAATAAGCTACGGACCTCCAAAACACAATCCGTACACGCCCCTAAGCCCGAAATCACCCAATGGAGCTAACGGAATCGACGAATTTCCATTTTGGAGCGATCTTCATACTGCTCCGACTACAGTCCAAATTCTAAGACTTAAACACTCATTTAGGGACTAAATATCTCAAAACACTCTAAAACTCCAGATGAACCATCCCGGCAAATTACAATAGCAGAAAAAGACACGGGAAAAGAAGTTAATAGGGTATCGGAGTGTTAATTCACAAAACAACCGGCCAAATCGTTACACCTGCCCTTACTTTTCTTTATTAATATTTCTTTTCATTCTCAATTTTTGTTTTTTGTCCCTTACTATTTTTCTCTCTCATTTTTCCTACCATCACCATCAGAATCCCTTCCATTTCTCTCCCTTGCCCTCCCACCATTATAGTGGATAATAAAATTTATATCTAAATGGTTGAATTTGTTAGAAAAATAACATGGACAAAAGAAATTTATTAGCTCGTTGCGTGTAAATATGTTGTCCTTAAGAATATTTCGCCTACATAGTGAATACGATAACTAGGAGTTATGTGACTTAGTTCATTCGGTGCCGATACAGTGCTTGGGTAGGGTCATGTGATTTTGCGAAGAAACATTCACATTTTCTTTTTGGTTGCTCTTTGTAATTCTAGTTTATCAACTTATTGATAGAAAACTGAAGGTGTTGGTTTATGTTTAGTCAACAATGGCATGCCAATTGGAAGAGTTGGTGGAAAGAGTTGGTGTGGATGCTAGGAGGAAGCTTCCTCCTTTGATGTCACCCATGACATCAAGAGGAGGTAGTTTGATGTCACCAATGACATCAAGAGGAGGTCTTTACCTCTATAAATAGATGCACTCCTTCATTTGTAGAAATCATCCCAAAAATAATACAACACATTGTAGTGAGTAGAGAGTTAAGAGAGAAATTCTCTCAAGTGTAATTGGGAACTCTCCCCTTCCTTTGTTAATATTAAAAAGGCAACTGTTCTCTGGTGGACGTAGGATTATTTTGATCCGAACCACGTTAAATCTTGTGTTCTTTATTTTACGTTTCTGCTAACAAAAACAATATCTTAATTTAGGGTGTGTTTAGCATGAAGGAAAATATTTTTCATAAAAAAATATTTTCTTAAAAAATAAGTGATTTTCTTACCCTTTTTTTTAGTATTTGATTAGCTAGCAGAAAATATTTTTTGAAAAATATATAATCTAGGCAAGAACTATGGAAAACCAAATGAATGAGGGCAAGGGGAGGAGAGGGGGTAGGACTGGGGCAGAGGAAGGGGGACAAGGGAGGAGTGGGCGGTGTGCCAAGGCGGGGGTTGGTTTGGGAGGGGGAGATTTACCGGGCTGAGAACTTGAGGCAGTGGCAGGTCTAGAGCATTGTACAAGGATTCCTGGGAATTCAGTAACTTTTGCATAAAGATTGTATTTTTATTAAAAAGTCCACCAAATATCTATAAATATCTTAATATGAACCCAATTATTATTGTTTATTAATTTGAAATTACGATAGAAACTCATAATCTTCAAATCCTAGATACGCCTTTGGTTGGAGGGTTGATGTCACGACCCAAAATCTAACTGTGGTTGTGATGACACCTGTCGTATTACAAGGCAAGCCTACTTCCCAAAATATTACTACTAAACCGATTATAAGAAATTAATAAAATATTTCAACATTTAATTTTTTTCATAAACTAAATCAACTCTAAATATAATATAGAAAAATACGGAAACGAGTCCCAAACATCGGGGTGTTACTAAGTCATGAGCGTCTAAAACTATGAACTAAGATATATAAACTGTCTAACTGTCCAAAAGAAGAAATGACAAAAGGAGTAACAAGGTCCTGCGGACACTAGCAGCTACCTTCCAATCTCCACAGATAATCGGCCTGAACTCAATGATTGTCGCGCTTTAACTCACATGGATCTGCACATAAAATGCAGGGTGTAGTATGAGTACAACCACCTCAGTCGTAACAGAAATAACTAAGGAACTGAGCAGTAGCGACGAGCTAAGTAAAACAGTCCAATTTTTCGCAATTTAAAAAAAAATAAACAGGTAAATTCCATAACTCAGTAAATGCCACAAAGAAATTTAACAGATAAATGTAGCAACATCACAAATAAATATAACCTCATAGCAGTGTCACTTCATCACTCATTACTCGCACTCAGCACTCAACACACTCAACACTCTACGCTTACTGGGAGTGTGTACAGACTCCAGAGGGGCTCCCAAAGCCCAAGAGCTAAGAACGGACAACTCACGTGCCATCATATCAAAACCTGGATCCGCACGGTCAACTCATGCTCTACACGGACAACTCACGCGCTATGGTATCAATACCTGGACCCGCACGGTCAACTCACGTGGTATGTGGACAACTCACACGCCATGGTATTAATATCATCACAACTAGGCCCTCGGCCTCACTCAGTCATGTACCTCTCCAGCCTCACAATACACCACCAATAAGGGGACACAACCCACATCAAGTATCACAACATATCAGCAAAATAATATAGACTGAGGTAAACATGTACAATAATTTATATGACTGAGTACAAATAATTTGAGCATGAATAAAGTCTAAGCATGATCTCTAAATCAAGGCAGACAAGTTCAACAACAAGTAACTACGTAAACACAGATGATGGCCCTGAGGCCTCACGGGATGGACCAAGTCTCCATCCCTCGAGGTATATACTTACACGCCCGTCACCTAGCGTGGGTATACTACAACAAATTAGGCTTTTAACCACACCCGAAAAGGGTGGTCTAAACTAACAAAAAGTGTGGCTTTTGATCAAAGACCACACTTTTCGACCTACGACAACACTTTTCAAAGGGTGGCCAAACAAGCGTAACCTTTGCTTTAAGGCTACGTTTTTCATAAGGTAAAGGTTAAACTTGCCTATGGCCACACTTTTCATGTCCTAAGGCTACACTTCTAAAGCGGGGTCCTTTTTACCTCATAGGTCACGCTTTTCAAGTGTGGCTCCTAAATTAGTTGCACTTCTAAAGCGTGGTCTTTGTTACTAAGCTTTTAAAAAAATTATATTTTTTGTATATATCCTATAATTGTATTTATTAATAAATACATATTTTATCATATATTTGAGGTCATTACTTAAGTATAAAGATCTCAAGTACTTCATTAATCAATAAAAAAAGAGATTGTTTAAACACATACATGCAATTTACTTCGAAAAAGGAATACATTTCATATACTACAATCAACCAATAAAGCAAATTGCTTCAAGTAGTGTGCTAAATATGAACTTTACAAAATCAAATGTATTGTCCAAAAGTCTTCATCATTAACTTCAAATGGATCAAATTGACTTTGGCCACCACGTTTAATAGCATCACAAGAATTTTCCTACACATTGAAAAAAAATCAAATATTAAATAGAAACCAATAGAGTGCAAACTATAGGGAGAAGATTTCACATGTAATTTTCATACATTATGAATAATAATGGAGATTATCATTAGAACTCATATTCAATACAACAAAGGAACAATATGTTACTTAAATTCAATTCACACACCAGGTGCACTTGCCAAAATGTTGCATTCGTGGTAACATAACATCACAAAAATGCAATACGTGAAAATATTCAATCAGATCAGAAGCTAGACTACGTTTCTATTTTGATGGTGACTCAAAAACAGAACCCTCTAGCTCTATGTACTAGCGGTAGCACCAATGGAAATCCCTATGAAAATGGTGATACTAATGCATAAAAGAGAATTCACCATCCCAACAATAGTACTAATATCTTACTTTAGCATGTATAAATAATAAATGAATAAAAAAGTACCTTTCCAAGAATTGGACTATGAGTTAGATCCAAAGGAATTTGAAAACATTTGGTCTCTAACAGCCTCTGCGTTACTTGAATCATCGTAGAAGGATAGGGTAGCTAACACATCTAAATGAGATATGATGAAGTTATATATTATAAGGACCTTGACTAATTCTATTGTTCCTTCAGTTTGAGTAATACTTGCGAAAAGTAAACCCCTTTGATGTCAAGGTCACAATTCTTCATTGGCATAACAAACCTATAAAAAAAAGAGTATTGTGAAATCTTTAGTTAGAAATATTATTAAATACATTTCTTTATTTGTGGCGAAACAGAGAAAAGAAAATATTTTAGTACGTGTAATTTTTTTATTTTCTCTCACAATATGAGAATATTTTTAGCTACAACACTAATAAACAGTTATATTAGAGCAAGCCTGGCTTTGGATTTCAATCAATATATATTTTCAGAAAGGAGACCTGTAAGTTGAATCGCATCTTCTTGTCGGTAAACCACTGCAAAGTTTGACAAAAGACAAGAAATTCTTGGATTATCCATTCTTGTAGAAGTTTCAAAAGGAGTGGAGCTATACACAAGATAACAACGTCTAGTACTGGCTCCCCTAAGCTCAATACTACAAAAGGCAAGAATAATAGTTAGACATAAAAGAGTGTTTAAGTCTATAATTGTATCGAACTAGTGAGTTAGTTGACTATTACGTAGATCTCTTATCATATACAAAAAGTAGTAGTACCAAAAAAACAGGGACAATTTTTATGTGCAAGAAAATATTATCTTTGACAAGCATAGCTATATTCCAGTATCATAGAGCATGTCTTCGACAAACACAAGTATCGTTTTGGTGGACGCCAAATGATTTTGAAAAATAAATGTTGGCTGAAATAGACTATTATAGTAGGCAAATAATTTCACCATATTAAGAACAAATTTACTTAAGACACATATAGAATAATTTTTACATAAAGAGGAAAATCACAAGTTCCAATTTTTTTTTTTTTGATTTTTAGGGGAGCGGTGAAGCCGATAATTTCTTCACTTTGTTACTAAGCTTTAATGAGACATGATATCAGCAGTCACTATGCTACAATAGAAAATGATAATTGTATTCTTTGCTTACTGAATTTTGTAAAAGAAATAAACATAATATTTAAAAAGGATAATGTCAATCTACAGACAAATACATAATTTTAGACAAGAAATTGTAGAATAACATGAAAACATGAAAATGACAAACTCAACAATATTTAAAACTTCCATGCAATTCAGACAGAAGGAAATTAAATTTCATAAAAGAGCTTCAAGGGTAGTATAAATCAAACATATACATAATTCAGGAAGAAGTAATTATCTGCTACTACTTTGTTCAAATTGTTCTTCCTCTAACTAAAATTGTATAATTTCTTATTACACTTCTATTGATTCACTATATTAAATCCAAGCATGTAATTATTTAGTCAAATGTCACCGATCCAATTAAACAATTTGTGTAGTCTCAAAATATTTGAATCCTCCAATAAAAACAAAAGCTTTTAGTTTTATTCAAGTCAATCAAGTTGAGTTTCATCAAAAAACTTTGATATATCTAAATCCGTGAGTTTCGTAGCTCTTTATCATTTAAGTTGAAAGTTCAAATACCCTTGGAAATCTTCTACTTTTCCTTCATTTCCCGGAACAAGCAAAACAAACTTGACTTTTTTTTTTAAAGAAATTCTTTATTGACAGGAATAAAGGTATTTAAAAGTAGGTAAAATAATTTAGATGATAAAGGCAGTATAAAAAATTCTAATATAATAATTTCAAGCCTCTCATGCTAAACCCATAAATGATCTATCCAAAAACTGAGACATTAAAAGATCTACAAATTGTTTAACTCAAGTTTTTCCCAAATTCATAAGAAAGGGACAATATCATAAATTCCCTGAGAAATTCATTTATTCTGTATTCATAAGCAAATCTAAATACTACAATTTTCGATTAAACCCAGAAACTGAATGAAAGTAGAATATCCTGTATATGGTCTCAAAAGAAATAGAAAAAACCTGAATGTCGAACCTTTCTTGTTGTCTTGAGAAACTGACTTATGTAACTCATATCTTAGGAGGAATCAAATAAAGTAAATTAGATCTCCTGCTTTTGAAGAGCATCACCAGTTGGGTGAAATCATTTTCTTCTTTCCCTTTTTGACGAAGATTGGGTGCAATGGACAGTTTTTTTTTAAATCAAGTGAAGAAGGTTGTGGGTTTCAAACCTTAGAGTAAAGGGGCAACTGGAATCGCTTAGACTTTTAATAAAAAAATTTAGAGGGGAAGTGAGAAATTTTAGAGGGAATCGTTTAAGTGGGAATTTTTGTGCTAATTATTTTTAATTCAAACCACGTCTGCACCGCATTACTTTTAATGTACCAAGGACAAGGATAATGCTTGTAAAGTGTTGCTTAATATCAGAATAAGCGTTCTCAAAAATTTTAATACTAAGCAACACTTGCAATGTGTAGTCTTTGGACATAAAGAGCACACTTTACCGGTGTAGCCCAAACTCCGTTGCCAAAAGCTCTTATCAAAGGTCACCCTTACAAAATTGTTCCTATTGCTACTTTTGGCAACATTTTTGAAGCGTTGCGTTTCCTTAGGCCAATTTTGTTGTAGTGGTATCACCTCCAAACGGTCATACGATATCAAATTCTCCGGGTTTACACCTTCAAAGCCAGAGTTAAAACTGTTACATACCTAAATCGCATAAAATCCTACTCCGGGATACCCTTATCTCTCGACTCGGTCTACAAAAGCTCCAAATCTAACCATAATCATATTAATACCATCACCATATGCTAAAGAATCGAATTCCACAATAAAAACTACAAAATATGCCAAAAATCCAAAATCGGCCAAAATTCGCCCCCCGAGCCCACATCTCAGAATCAGTCAAAATGGCAGAATCATAAACCTCGTTCTCTCCCGAGTCTAATCATATAAAATTTATTAAAATCGGACTCCGTTTGGTCCCTCAAATCCTCACTTAAAACTCTCCAAAACTCAAACCCTAACTCCCTCAATTTCACTTTGAAATCATTAATCAAATCCCAAAAATGATGATGGATTCATGAAATATAACCAAAACCGAGTAGAGAACACTTACCCAATCCATATGGTGAAAATCGCCCAAATCCGAGCTCACCAATTCAACATATGACCGAATGAACAAATCTTAGTTTTATACATTTTTTTGCTAGTTATTGCCTCGTTTCTCATGCCAAATGATTCTAAAACTCGTATTTTAGGCCTCCAACGGATATCTTGTGAAATCCTAGTCAAGTTAGGCTTTTGAATCACTCAATTTGACCTTATAATGAATGAGATATGAAGGTTTTAATATTTGCAAATAATGCAGATTTTTAAATACGCCATCAGTGGCAATTTCGTAATTAATCTGAAAAATCTAGCAACCTAATTCTTAGTAAAATGACCATGAAATCCTCATACGATGTCTAAATTCGACGACTCTTTTTGCTACGGGTCTGTAATTACAATACTGATCTAATGCTTCAATCAAAAAAGAAATCGGAGCTCATTTGTTCAATATGATATCATTTATACTTGAAGAAACGGCGTCGAAACATAATAAAAACGAGCGCAACACAACCCAAACCTATCCGAAATTCACTCGACGCCCTCGGGACCTCAACCAATAATTCCAACCAGTCATATATCACTACTCAAACTTAGTCGAACATCCGAAACACTCAAAACAACATCAAAACAAATCAACCTCGAATTCAAGCGTAAGAACTTCTAAACTTCCAACTTTCACCAATTCAAGCCTAATTCTACCACGGGCCTCCAAATTATATTCCGGACACACTCCTAAGTCTAAAATCACCCAACGAAGCTAACTGAATCATAATAATCCAAATCCGAATTTGATTACTCATAAGTCAACTTCCGGTTGACTTTTCGAACTTAGCTTTCTAACTAAGAGACTAAGTAATCATTTCACTCCAAAACTACTCCGAACCCAAACCTACCAAAACTACTTCGAACAACACATAAATAAGCATAGATGGGGGAAATGGGGCTATACCTCTCAGAACGACTGACCGGGTGGTTACATCCTCCCTTTCTTAAACAAACGTTCGTCCTTAAACAAGTCTAAAAACATATCCGGAGTTTCAAATAGTTGAAACCTTCAGCAATACCGTATCGTCACATTCAAATCATATGAACTCATCTCGCGGTCATATTGTACTCACCACGTATCTATCCAACCACTATTTTCACTAATAGGGACACTATCGAACATATAAGTCCACAAGCACATGCTCACACAATCGATACCTCAGTGTTCAAGCTACAGTCAGAACCCGGCCTCAAGTCCTCCAGACTGGCCCAACATCAACACATAGAAATCACCTCTCACACCTCATCCAAGGAACAAGCCATCATTGCACAACTGATACCGAGCGCTCATGTGCGCATACGAATGCGTGTAAGGAATTCAAAGAGTTACACTTCAAGCTGAATCAATACCACACGATAAGAATTCAAGAAGGTGAAGCTTTTATAAAGGTTTTGTAGCCTCTCGAAGATAAGTACAGACGTCTCCGTACCAATCCGCAAGACTCTACTAAACCCGCTCATGACTCATGAGACTATGTAACCTAGGCTCTGATACCAACTTGTCACGACCCAAAATCTAACCATGGTCGTGATGGCGCCTATTAGGTTACAAGGCAAGCCTACGTCCCAAAATATTACTACTAAACCGATTATAAGAAATTAATAAAATATTTCAACATCTAAATTTTTCATAAACTAAATCAACTCTAAATATAATATAGAAAAATACGGAAATGAGTCCCAAACATCAGGGTGTCAATAAGCCATGAGCGTGTAAAACTATGAACTAAGATATATAAACTGTCTAACTATCCAAAAGAAGAAATGACGAAAGGAGTAACAAAGGTCCTGCGGACACTAGCAGCTACCTTGCAATCTCCACAAATAGCCGGCCTGAACTCAACGATCGTCGCGCTTTAACTCACCTGGATCTGCACATAAAGTGCAGGGTGTAGTATGAGTACAACCACCTCAGTAGTAATAGAAATAACTAAGGAAATGAGCAGTAGTGACGAGCTAAGTAAAACAGTCCAATTATTTATTTTCACAATTATAAAAAACAAAACAAAAATAAACAGGTAAATTCCATAACTCAGTAAATTCCACAAAGAAATTTAACAGATAAATGCAGCAACATCACAAATAAATATAACCTCACAGCAGTGTCACTCCATCACTCATCACTCGCACTTAACACTCAACACTCTACGCTCATTGGGGGTGTGTACAGACTCCGGAGGGGCTCCCAAATCCCAAGCACTAAGCACGAACAACTCACGTGCCATCATATCAATACCTGGATCCGCACAGTCAACTCACGTGCTACGCGGATAACTCACGCACTATGGTATCAATTCCTGGACCCGCACGGTCAACTCACATGCTACGCAGACAACTTAGGCATTATGGTATTAATATCCTCACAACCAGGCCATCGGTCTCACTCAGTCATGTACCTCTCCAGCCTCACAATGCACCACCAATAAGGGGACACAACCCACATCAAGTATCACAATATATCAGCAAAATAATAGAGACTGAGGTAAACATGTACAATAATTTCTATGACTGAGTACACATAATTTGAGCATGAATAAAGCCTAAGCATGATGTATAACATGAAGGCAGATAAGTTCAACAACAAGTAACTACGTAAACACAGATGATGGCCATGATGCCTCACGAGACGGACCAAGTCTCCATCCCTCGAGGTATACACCCACACGTCCGTCACCTAGCATAGGTATCACCTCCAAACAGGCACACGATATCAAATTCTCCGAGTTTATACCCTCAAAGCCAGAGTTAAAACTGTTACATACCTCAACCGTATAAAATCCTACTCCGAGATTCCCTCGTTTCTGGACTCGGTCTCCAAAAGCTCTGAATCTAACCATAATCAAATTAATACTATCACCATGTGCTAAAGAATTGAATTCCATAATAAAAACTACAAAATATGCCAAAAATCTTACATCGGCCAAAATCCGGCCCCTGGGCGCACGTTTCAGAATCAGTCTAAATGGCATAATCATAAATCTCATTCTCTCCCGAGTCTAACCATATAAAATTTATCAAAATCGGACTCCACTTGGTCCCTCAAATCCGCACTTAAAACTCTCCAAAACTCAAACCCTAACTCCCTCAATTTCACATTGAAATCATCAATCAAATCTAAAAAACGATGATGGATTCATGAAATATAACCAAAACCAAGTGGAGAACACTTACCCCAATTCATATGGTGAAAATCGCCTCCAAAATTGCCCAAATCCAAGCTCACCAGCTCAAAATATGACTGAATGAACAAATCCTAGTTTTATATATTTTTCTGCCAGCTATTCTGCTCGTTTCTCATGCCAAATGATTCCGAAACTCATATTTTATGCTTCCAATGGATTCTTTGTGAAATTTTAATCAAGTTAGGCTTTTGAATCACTCCATTTGACCTTATAATAAATGAAATATGTAGGTTTTAATATTTACAAATAGTGCAGCTTTTTAAATACGCTATCAGTGGCAATTTTGTAATTAATCTGAAAAATTTAACATCCTAATTCTTAGTAAAATAACCATAAAATCCTCATACGATGTCCAAATTTGACGATTCTTTTACGGATCCGGAATTACAATACAAATCTAATGCTTCAATCAAAAAAAAAATCAGAGCTCATTTGTTCAATATGATATCATTTATAATTGATGAAACGATATCAAAACATAAGAAAAACGAGCGCAACACAACTCAAACCTATCCGAAACTCACCCGAGGCCCTCGGGACCTCAACCAATAATTCCAACCAGTCATATATCACTATAGTCGAACCTCCGAAACAAACAAAACAACATCAAAACAAATCAACCTCGAATTCAAGCCTAAGAACTTCTAAACTTCCAACTTTCACCAATTCAAGCCTAATTCTACCACGGACCTCCAAATTATATTCCGGGCACACTTCTAAGTCTAAAATCACCTAACGAAGCTAACCGAATCATAAAAATCAAAATTCGAATTCGATTACCCATAAGTCAACTTTCGGTTGACTTTTCGAACTTAGCTTTCTAACTAAGAGACTAAGTAATCATTTCACTCCAAAACTACTCCCAACCCAAACCTACCAACTCGATACAACTCAACACAGCTGAACAACACATAAATAAGCATAGATGGAGGAAATGGGGCTATAACTCTTAGAACGACTGACCGGGTCGTTACATCCTCCCCCTCTTAAACAAACGTTCATCCTCGAACGAGTCTAAAAACATATCCGGAGTCTAAAATAGGTGAAACCTTCAGAAATACCTTCTCGTCATATTTAAATCATATGAACTCATC